TTTTCCTACTTGATGCTCCATTCTGAACAAGTATCTAGTTTTTACTATTATATTGGCCTAAAATTTCGCCAAAGGTTTTAGTATTGAAGTTTGTGCAAAAACTTTATGTAAACTGTGAAAATCTATAATTTGACCTATTACCATTTGCACGAATTTGAGCAACGGGATTTTCTTCCCATTTACTTTAATCCTGAACGCACTTCCGTTGTCAATATTCTCCAAATTATTGAACTACACTTGATCAACCAACTTCAAAAAAATGTTTGAGCTATGCGTATTCCAAAATGTACTTGGCAATCGGATTTAGGTCATTCTGGCAGACATGACAAACCTATTTGACCTTCTTGCTCCTCTAGTCTAGTTGAGCCATGCAAAGAACCCAATATTTGATTTTTCCATTTATAATTCGATTTTTGTTACTGCTGTTTTCAAAAGCACTGTTGATGCCATTTTATTGACGCGTCAGGGTTTAGTCATCTCCCGCTGTGTGTGTGTACATGTATATGCGAGTACCCTATGCTTGAAGCTACACCGCCTCCCCATCGTTCTTTATTATAGGCGATTGTTTTGCGGATGTCATTCTTTGTTATGGTACTATTGAAATGGGCTACTACGGCTTGCCTATTTACAACCTCGAACAATTTGCGCCTTCACTTATTGATGTTGGCATCTAGTACATGCTTGTAAACAATTGACCTGGACATATATTTGTCTTCCAGGGTTTTGATAGCTAAAAATATCGGAATCAGGACATCGTGAGGTCATTGACCTTTTTGCTCATCCCACTTTAGACAATCTTTGCTAAGTCCCATCATAGTGACTACATTAGATGCTACATTCATGAGATTCCTGCGGTGAACTGTAATGTTGCTTGAAAAGTAAGGTAACTTTGGGGCTGAGGCATATTGTGGGTGTACGAGTCACTGGCGCGCTTACGCATGGTTCTGAGCAGGTTCGTTTTACACCGAAATACAAACTTTTTTGCCATAAAATGGTGTGATTTCATGTTCTTTGTGGAGTGCCTTTTGAGATTTTTCCATCTCACCCTTCTACTATGTGTCTATGTCTGCAATAAAACTGAAGCTCAAAGGAGTATCCAAAGCGCACACAAAGTCGGGTTTGGTGTGAGTACGCATAAGACAGTGAAGATTGAGGTCTCCAGATTCATTTTAATTGCAATCATGCTGTAGATGGGAGACGATATGCACATCTGCTACAAAAAATCCTTCGTGAAACGCTACATCGCGACCTATCAACCAGAGGTGCTCATGTGGTATCACGTTCCCTCTCCTCCCATCTCATCCTCCATGTCGACAGGTACTTCTTTTTCTGCTACCAGGTGGATCGCTTTGTTTTAAGACCTACCTCATTTCCTCTTTTATAGTATTAAGGAGTGCTTTCGAAACGTACTCCCATTGATTGCCCTACCCTCCAGAATAAAACGGTTTCAAGCTGCCCATATAGGGTCTTGCTCCTCTCAGTCACTTCACGTTAAATGCTCCTTTGTTCTGCCTCGTTCTTTGCCAATAATAACGGCAACTGCACTTTTGCTTCTTATATGGCGACGCCGTTGGATCTATTTGCGCATAACCAACTCGAAAGCCTTCATACTTATTTTCGACCCTTTTTAAAAAATTTAGATGAAATGGCGAACCAACCTATATTTAATACAGTGGACATTGCTACTTTGTCCAACTTTTGCCTGCCTTGGGGTGCAACTATTGAGTCCTGGTCAGTCGATCAAAATCCTCCTGGATCCGTCTTTTTCACCTTTGTGGTTACCAACGCCGCCTATCAGAAGGTACTTCATCTCTGCTCTGATATTTCAGATTGTGATTCGGTAGTAACTTACGAGGCGTCTTCGAGCTTCTACGACACATAAGAATGATGTTTTTTTTGCAGTGCTTTAAATATTTTCCCATTACTTTCTAATTCAATCGCGTGATCGCGATGAAATTTTGAAGCATTGAATAAGTTAGCAATTAATTTCGGAAAAGTAGGGAGCATTGTTGACAATGAGCTTTTAATTTATCCTCGGTTGCGTGTTGAATATGCGGTCCAAGGTAATATCAAGGCACCGAAGCTGCTCGGGGTGTCAGACATGCGTGGTGCGGTTTGGTAGCCTGAAAATACGATGTGATAAATTTTCTGCACTCATTATTGTTGTTGTTGTTCGGAGCTGCAACGTTGATCTTGGGCCGACTATTTCTTGATTCCAGTTTCACGGTTCAGCACTAACGTTCTATGAGCCCTACGATGTGTCACTGCTGGATCGAGATAGGTGTTATCGGCTGGATGTAGATCCCGAGCTTGTGCGAATAGAAGAAGCAGAAGGAGAAGAGCGGCGACGACAACGGACGGCAGCGGTGGTAGTGAGAGAGGCGGAAGCAGAGCTTTTCACGCACGAGGAGCTGTTAGACATCGAGCAGCGTCAGGGCGTCTTCGCCTCTTCTCGCATCGGTGACCGCGTGCTCGGTGTCACCAAGACCCTCTGCCTCGTGTCTCGTTTTAACTTCGGCAATGCACTTAAACCTTTCCTCGATTTCCTTCACTCCCGTTGTTTCAGTTCTAAGGGCCAGTCTATTCCTCTTGAAAGGTAAGGGGGAATGTTTCACCTTTCTAGACATGTAATAATGCTCAAAAACCTATAAGTAAAGCTCTGCAATTTGAATTGTGCTAGTCTGCACAACTTTGCCACCGATATACCGCTTTGAATGCTGGCCGCTGGCCAATATCATTGATTTAAGGTGCATCATTTCACCGTTTTTGAATGATTCTCTCTAGAAAAAGGCGATAAGGAGGGCCCATGGAGTTTGCGATGCAACTTGTCACAACGGATTTTGGTATGTAGGGACGAATAAAGGACATTCGATTGTTTATGTGCGTTGGGCGTCTGTTGGTGCTCTCTGCTGCTATTAACTGCTTTCAAGTTCCGACCTCCCAATAAAGTGTCGATCGTTTGGTTTGAGCCTTTCCGGGTTTCAGAGCTGCAAAAGTTCAATCGAGT